ACGTGCCTGGCGTGAGTTCTAAGCCACTGGGTCCGGGACATGAACTGCGGTCGACTACGTGGGAGTCCAGCGACATAGCCATTACGCTAACTGCTGGTTCCCCAAGTCCTATTTTTAAGAAAAAATAATTCATTGAAATAATCTCTTTTGACCCATAGATTATTTTTTATTTTTAATTTTTTAAAGAGGTTTTTGCCTTAGGGCATGTGGACTCACTGGAGAGAGACCAAGACAGTAAGAGATAAAGTGAGAAATTGCCCCCTCACAAGGGCAGCCAGGCCACAATCTCTTCTTCTCCATTCTCCTCGCAGGATCTTGGGCACACGTGCTCATGAACCTAGCATGATTTCCAGGCTACGGGGTCCAGGACTCAAACTGTGGTCAGCCATGTGGGAATCCAGTGATGTAACCACTACACTACCTGCTGGCCCAGACCTATGGATTATTTAGAATTTTGTTTAGTTTCTGAATGGAAATCTATTATTTTTCTGTTACTTTTAGTTTAATTCCATTGTGATCACAAAACATACTCTGCATGACTGAAATTATTTTGAAGTGTTGATGTTTATTACATGGCCATTGTATGGTCTATTGTGTTATATGTCCCATGAGTAATTGAAAAAAGAATGTGTATTTTGCAGTGTTTGAGTAGTTTTCTATAAATACTGATTAGATTTGATCAGTGGCATTGAGGATTTCTATATCATTGCAGACTTTCTAGCTAGTTGATCTGTCAACTGTTCAGAAAGGAATTCAGTCTCCTGTTAAAATTGTAGGTTTTTCTCCTACCAGTTACATAAGTTTTGCTTTCCATACTTTGAAGCTCTGTTTGGTCATACACATTTAGGGTTGTTAAGGCTTCTTTATGAATTGAGACTTTTATCATTGTATCATATCCCTTCAGTCTCTCTTTATTTTCTTTGCTTTGAAGTCTACTTTATCCAATTTTAATACAGTAGTTCATGCTTCACATGGTTTATTTTTTACAGCCTTTTATTTTCAACCTTATTGAATTTGAAGTGAATTTATTATAGGCAGGTTATAGTTATGTCATGTATTTTTGTTTTTCTTTATTCCTGTACCACTCTCCCACCCCAATCTCTTTTGATGGATGTATGTAAATCATTTAGATTTAAGACAATTTTGATATGTTAGAGTTCAAAAATGCCATTTTATTATTTGTTTCCTCTAGTTAAGTGCCTTTGCTTTCTCTTCTTCTGACTTCTGTGGATTAAATAATTTTTTTTTAAGAATTCTTTTACTTTATTTATTTAATTTGACCAGAGCAGGACAGAGATGGTGGGGGAAAAAAGAGGGAATGTGAGAAAGCAGGCCGCCAGGTCTGGGACTTGAACTGCAGTTGGCCATGTGGGAGTCCAGCACCCTTAAAACAATTTGTTTTTAGGATTCCAAATTTACTGTGTTTTAGCAAGACCACACTCTAAATACATATTAGTTTCTGTAGTAACTGTGTATTTCATTAATTTAGAAAGTTTTCTGCCATTATCTCTGAGTACTATTTCAGTCTTACCCTTTGTCCTTCTGTAACTGACAAAATGTTGGATCCTCAGACTGTGACTAAACTCGGTCAGTTCTCATGTTCACTGATTTCTATTTTCTGTCTACTCTGCTATTGAGACCACACACTGAGATTTTTATTTCTGTTGTATTTTCCAGTTCAACAATTTCCATTTGGAAATTGCTTTTATTTTTGCTGAAATTTTTCTATTTTTACACTTCAAGATAATTTGTATTTGATTTTGACACATTGTAAAGATAACTGCTTTAAAGTCATCTCAATATTGGTGTTGTCTTCTCTCATCGCATTTATGATTTTATTAGTGTGACAGATGCTTATCTCCTGCTGATTTTGTCTATTTATGTTAAGAGACTCAAGATGCTACTTAAATCTTTTATATCAGGAGGGATGGAGGAGTCCGACCCAGTGGGGCCCCAGAATCTGTTTTGAGCACCTCCCCACCTTAGAGCACAGCCTTGGTCAGCTCAGCATGTTGGCAAGACTGTTGCTGTACTTCTCCCCCCCCCGACCCCCTCCCCATGAGCAAAACTTGGGCTGACTCAGCATGTTGGCAAGGCCGCTTGCTGTATGTTCCGGAAACTGCGGTAGCCTTGCTGGGAAGTGACCCCCCCCCTCCCCGATTTACTACTGTAAAAGAATTACATAGTTCTCTCGTACATCTTTGTAGTAAGATTTCCCGAAAGTTTCCTGACCGCTCCCTTTACCCTGACTACCTACTGTTAATTACAACGCTTCATCCCTGTGGTCACAATGGAGGGTGTGCTGAAGTTCTTCTTGACCTTTGGAAGGCCCTTCAAGGGGCCTTATATTTATTTAATATAAATAACCTTTTTACATACAATAGGACTAGGCCAAAACTGGCCCAGGACACTTTAGCCCCATGGTAACTAATGTTCTAACAAAATACGTAACAGTGGTGCCATAGGTTATACAAGTGAATCCACAACACCATAAACCCATTTTAAAATTTTTCATTAACTTGTTAGTCACTTTACCGCCAGTTGAAAAAACTGTCCCCGCCCTCACCAAGTGAACAATAACTTCACCCCTTCAGGATAGGTAAATATATTAGGATTCCTTTAATTAAATTCTAGATCTTTATAGAAGTATATAAATATCATTCTTTATTGAGATCCATAAGAACTAATACCTATATATTTGAGATTTTCTTTTAGTAATCACAAGACGACTGCTGCTGAACATCAGCTGATAATTTTTTTTTTTTTGAGAGGTTTTTGCTATAGGGCACGTGCGCTTGCTAGACAGACAGAGACAGAGAGATAGAAAGCGAGAAATCACCCCCCGGGGGGGATGGCCACGCTGCAATCCTTCTCCTCCACTCTCCTCTCGGGATCTTGGGCACACACGCACACGCGCCCGACATGAGTTTTAAGCCACCGGGTCTGGGACGTGAACCACAGTCGACTATGTGGGAGTCCAGCAACATAGCCATTATGCTAACTGCTGGTCCCATTGGCTAATTAACTCTGCTTGCTGGAACTGTTTTCCAGAACCGCACCCCCAGAAGTTCCCGAAAGCCTGCTTACATCAATCAAATAATTGGTGAACTGTATCGATGAATAATAGACCTGCCCTTAATCAAACCCTGAAAGGAATCTATGATCTTTATTGTTAAAACTTTATGAACTGATAATTAGAACACGTAGCCCCTCACCTGTTCACTTGCATGTATCACATTTTCAATAAAAAGGCACAATGATTCCTAGCAGTTGTCACTCCTCAGAGAGCAATCTCTGGGGGTGTCAGCTGAGGACATGCATGAAAAAGCACTGAGGCCTCAGTCTTTATTTCCAGTGCCCTCCTCCAACAAGTCAACCCACCCCCGCCGAGGCTGGTCCCCGGCAGAGGGAGTCACCTTGTTTAGCTTTAGTACCTGGGTCCTGGTCTATGTTTGAGTGCTGTAGGCTCTATGACAGCCTAATCTTTAGAGAGAGAGAGGTACTTCAGTAGTGAATAGATTGAATAGGCAATTTGACCCACAATCTACCCCTTAGCCTTTGCCAGCCTAGATCATGGAGACACACACACTTGAACTTTATGTGGACAGGAAGATCTTGGGACATGAACCCAAGACCTTCCCATCTGGGTTTAGCATTGCAAAGCATTGTGTTACCACTGTGCTACCACAGCTGGCTTTGGTGTGTTACTTTGATCTGCTTCCAGTCAGGGAAGCCTCTTTGTAAGTTATTTTGATCTAAGAATACAGATACATCTCATTCTAGGAGCACAATGAAAACAAAGTCTAAGAAAATGAAGACTTCATGGCTAAAGCACAACTTATTTGGTAAATATCAGTTAAAAAATGTAGAAGGAAAAAATATTTTTCTAGAAAGACTGATCATGACTTATGCCTAAAAGTCAAAGTTCTAATTCAACATTAACTGCACTCTATCAAATTTCCAGTGTGAAGCAGAGATTAGGCTCATTAATCAACACAATTCTACAAAGGACAGCATTGCTCCAGGAGACTGTTAACTCTGCACGATGGCATTTTATTTAACAGAGAGCATGTACTTCATACATATCCATTATCAGTGCCTTGAAAACTGAACAACTTTAAAAGTTAGCAGCAGTTTCTGCAAGTACAAAAATACACATTTATTACATAACATATGGTAGTAAAATTTGTCAAGATATATTATACAAACTCAAAGCATTTTAGATAAAGCATCAGTCTAATATATTATAGATTGATGGAGTATAATAAAATGACGTGGAGTCTGTCTCCAAGTCATACAATATGATACTTTACAGCAATATTAACAAACTATTCACATTAAGTATTAACAGGAGTATCTAAGGGAACGTAGGGAGTAGAAATGATCATTAAAGAATCTTGGCAACCCTTTCCTTCTATATTTCAAACTGGGTGGATGGTTTTCTATTTGCCTATGTGAAGGAAATGAAAAGGCTAGAACTGTTATTCTGGTAAGCAGAGCTCCACTCGCACCCTGGTCTTCACAGTAGGATGCCCTAAGGGTGAGGGAGTCCGGCTGACTTTATATAGTGTACTAGATGCAGATGGACCCTTGGGGTCTTAATATGGGAATGGCTGGTTATAAAGTAACATCTACTTCACATCTATGACTGAGATGGCCAGTGTCATGAAGAGGCTCTTGGGACACAGAGTTCTAAAAGTTTATTGTAATGTTTAGGGCAAACAGGATTATATTCCCGGGAAGTAGGTGGCATCCACAGTTAACACTGAAATAACTTCTATTTTAGAGAAAACATTTTTTTTCCCCTTCTAAGTGAAAAATTCAACCTTTAGGACAAGTAAAAAAAAACACACACACACACACACAAAACAACAACAAAAAATTTGGTATGACCAGATGAGTGATGAGAAAAGTAATTCGGAAAAGCTAGTTCGTGGGAGAAAGGTCCAATTGGTGGGCTAGAGAGACGAAGTAGGTGCTAAGCAGCTTCCTGAAAAAAAAAAACACACACACACACACACACACAACAACAACAAAAAATTTGGTATGACCAGATGAGTGATGAGAAAAGTAATTCGGAAAAGCTAGTTCGTGGGAGAAAGATCCAATTGGTGGGCTAGAGAGACGAAGTAGGTGCTAAGCAGCTTCCTGTTGGTAAGTAGTTAAAATGAAGGAAGGCACACAATCATTTTTATTGTGTCCCTTCATACTGGGTAGCAAGGCCTGGTAGTCAATTCTAGGTGAAGAGATGTACTGTAGTAACCGTTAAGGCAAGAGAGAAGAGGAAGGTCTAAGACTATGAACTAAACTAATGGGGTGTGAACTGTCTATCAACCATGAATATTTTGGGACAAAAATATGGAAAACTTCTAGAAATAATCTAGAAGTAAGAAAACCCAAAGCCAGTGACTCTCTGAGAAGGCCTGGTGGCCAGTTTGGAGGTGTAGTCTATCCTTGAAATCTGTCAGCCACTAAATTGTTCTCAAAATCAGAAAAAGAATTGTTTATAAAGTAACTTTTCTAGCTGATTACAATCTAAGAGCCAGAGCTGTGGGGCAACATACTGGCAATGATTGCCATGCTTTGAACACATCTTGGTAACAATATATAACTCAGAAAGGACTGTCACTATAGTCTTTTCTTTCACAGTATAGCAAATGCTTCCAGGAGTCACCTTTGAAATAGGAGGAGTCACCTTTGAAATAGGAAAAAGGGCATTTCTGGAGACTCTTCCTACTAGTCCAGGCACCTTTGGAAAGGACACTTCCTTCTTTTTCCTCACTGATCTGTTTTTCCTGGAACCTTTGCAAAGCGATGCAACACTAATGGGCAGGGGTTGGGAGACAAAGACAAAGGCAAGAAATAAAAAAAATGGTATCCTGATACCCAGGCCTCATGAATCACTCCAGTTTTCTCTACTTTAGCTGCACCAATGGGCTGGTTCCTGGAATGGTCCTGTGAGCTCATGGAACTGCAAAAAGCCATAGACATGGCCACTGGCTTGGAATCAGGGAGAGGTTTTACATGATTTCCTTCATTACGAGACACATTTTTCTTCTTAATGGTTTGATTACTGGCATTTTCTTTGCTTATTAAAAACATTTCACGGAGTGTGGATGGTTCCCCCAGCCCCCTATTCTTCATTTATGATATTTTGGTCGTCTCAGGACACTAATCTCAGAAACCGTTCACATAAGGAATGCTTCCCTAGCCCCTCTGCTAGTACTTCTAAAACCAACCGACAGGACCAGCCCAGGGTTTACTAAGGAAAAGCCTTCCACACACTTACGTGGTGACAGTTTTTTAGAATAAAAATTTTGCTCAATAGTTTCTATGAAGAGAATGTTTTCATTGTCCTAAGTATTAGCAGTGATTAGCCTTGGGCTACCTATCCCAGGTGTCTTATATCAAGGGGTCATAGCAATTACTGTCTTTTTATTATTAGCCCAGTTTCTGTTCTTGTAGATTCTCACTGTGGTTAAATGTCTTTGGTTAAAGATCTGTCCCCGCCAGCGTTGACACATTACCCACAGTCACTGAGCTGGATGAGGTTCTCTCGCCAGGCAGAGCACCAGAGGGACACTGGCCACCAGGTTGTACTTCCTCCTGGGACTTGGTACAAAGCTGGAGCCTGCTTTCCACCAGGCTGAATGGGGAGCTGCAGTGCTTCTCTGAGTCCTGGCAGGGAGAACTATCCCACTGGGCTGTCTGCACAGTTCCAGCTCCTTCGGCCACCCCTAGGGGCAGGTCTTTCTGTCTCTCTTGCAGTGAGCTGGCTTCTGGAACAAAAGAAGCAAGTGGAGGTGGCTCTGAGGGGCCTTTTAGAGAACCTATTTCCTTCTCGTCGGGCTTGGCTGTCTTTGCTTTCTTTTTGAGGGACCAATTTTTCAAACTGGCCACACCATTTCTCAACCATGTGCTGGGGTGAAGAGTTACGGAGTGTATTTGTGAATGCCACTCTCCGGTATCTTTTTTGGTAGAAGGCAGGAGGCTGCTGGCCTGCCCTGATGAGGGACCAGGCATTCCAGAAATGGGAATGGAACTGCTAAAGTCAGAAGAAAGCTCTTCCAGTTTTCTGCGAGCCTGAAAAGTGCAATCTATGGGAGAGGATGTTTCAGTGGGTGTAAACACGGAGTGCTCAGAAATCTGAGAGAACGCGCTGTCCTGAGAGCTCACCGAGCCAGAGGGAGACGTGCCTGGGGAGGAGAGGCTGGAAAAGCTAGTCCTTGGGCAGAGGTTTAATCGTGGGGGTAAGACCTTCTCAGTGCTCTGGGTTATGGCACTACTCTTGCCCACCTCAATACCCATGACCAAACTCTGATTGATAAGCTTTTGCCCCTCCATTTGCAAAGACTTATGCCGTTTGAGATAATCTTCCTCTCTGTGCAAGAACCCAGCTTCACAGCTGGTTTTATGTTGCTTCTTTGAGTAAATCCCCCTGAGATAGGTTAGTTTGCAGTGCTGGTCATCTATGTTGGGCTCTGAGCAGCGCCGATGCGTCCTTGAATTCTTGAGGACATCTGCTGTGTGTGGCGGGGAGTATCCAGACGTAGTCATATCGAAGGACTGGTTCCTGGAATGGTCCTGGGAGGGCATACGACTGTAAGATGCCACAGAAATGGCCACTGGCTTGGACTTAGGGAAAGGCTTCCCATGATTTCCTTCATTACCAGGTAAGCTTTTCTTCTTAACATTTTGAGGAGTGGCATTTTTCTTGCTATCAGTGCCTACGACTAAACTGTGTTTAAGACATGCCTTACCCTCTTCCTGGAGGGGTTGATCCTGCTTTGGATTGTCCTCATCTTTTTGAGAGAGAATCGCATCGCAGCTGGACTTGCGAAGCTTTTTCTGATAAAACTCCCTGAGATAGGAAAGCTTAGAGTCCAGATAGTCAATGCTGGGCTCCGAGCAGCGCCGGTGTCTTCTCAGGCTTTTAGGAGCATCCGCTGCAGCGGTGGACAGGCAGCTGCGACTGCACGTGCCCGACGGGGTCCTGGCATGATCCCGCAGTGGGATCTTGGTGTACACTAAAACGTTCAACAGCTTGGATTCTAGAGGCGCTTTCACTTGAAGGTCTTCATTTTTAGAATGGTCTAAATCAAAGTCACTCAGGGTTAAAAGGCCTTCCACCTCAGGCTGGTCAAGGTCATAGTCACTGAGCGTCAACACAGAGTCCATGCTTCTGCTGCCCTGGCCAAGTTTCTTTACCAAGTCACTGCATGGGGCATCCACATCCTCATTGAGCTCATTTTCCAGACTGTCATAGGAGGAGTCATTCAGTTGGAAGCAAGAGATATCTGTTAGAAAAAAAAATCAAACTATAATTAGCATTATTATGTACCACAAATATAGCCTGCACTGCCTTAAAAAAATACATGATGTTTAGTTTCTATTTTCATGTAGAATGTCCAAATTCCTACTCTTAAGAGTTTTTCACAATCTTCCTAACTGTTTACAAAGAATAATAATTACAAACCTTTTGGGGTCTACTAGATTTATCTCAGAGTCTTAACTTGGGCTTTCCTTAAGATTTTCTCAAAGCAATGAACATGTCATAAAATAAAGAAATGGTAAAAAACAGGAAGGAATTAATGCCAGGTATACCCAGACGCTGCATACTGAATGCTAGTCTTGGATGGACCATTTACTAATCCTATCAGTACATCTTTTACAATGCTCTTTAATATCCATTACCTTACTTAACCTTTATGACGACCCATAAAAATTAGTCATTGTCACTACCCACCTTCTACAGTTAAAGATATGAGTGTTGTATAGCATAGAATAATTGGCCAAAGGTAACGTAACTAAGAGCTAGTAGTATTGAAATTCCTATTGTGGAAGGTCGTATGTTTTCAAATGGAGTCCCCTTCCCTGACCCAAATGATATTAGCTATTTTTTTAACTGATTTTTGGCCCACTAGAATGCTGAGGAGACTCAGTGGTCACTAAGAGAAAGGAGAGGAAGAGAAAACAAACCAGGCCTGCCTCGACTACCTGTTTCCACCACAGCAGTCCCAGAATCTATATTACAGTGCCTTAAGAAAGCTCCCACCCATCATAGCACAGCATGTGACCATTAACAAGTTCCTGAAAGCAGAGACCTCATTTTGTATATTTCTTAACCTTACTGCAGTTAGCACGCTGGACCCATTAGCAGGTCCTCCAGGGCAGGGGCAAGCCCTGGGCCCCAGGGGGACCCGTCTGAGGGCGCGAGTACAACCACTGCCAGCATCTTCACAGACATGTATCTACTTCTCACAAACACCAAGCCAATTATTCACGATACCTGAGACATTCTCTCTAGCATCACATCTCACTGAAACCTCTCCCAAGAGGGAAGTGATTTCTTCTCCAAATATCCTACAGCAGTTTTCAATCAGGAACTGTATAAGCAGGGACACCTGTCCAAAAAAGGACAAAAATGAAATGCTACTTTTCATATAACATGTTTATAAATCACAGTTCACATATGAATCCTGATTTTAACAAAGAATACAAAAGTATCCTGAGAAAAATTTGGATCTGTTTAAAAAGCATATAAACAAAAAAATTATAATACTTTTAAGAGTAGCTTGGGGGTGAAAATTAATTTTTATCAGTGGATTAAAGTTATCTGTGGCTGTGGCTTAAGGCTAAGGTTTTCCTGTCTAATGACTCTGTCTTTAAAATGAGGACAATTTCCTTAAGTCTCCATAGGGTATTTGAGTAAAGAAATATACTTTGTTATTAAAATTTATAAAGCAGCATTAGATAAGGGGCTTATGAAAGCTATTTCTATGTATAGGACAGGTTGTCATAAGCTTGGGAAGAGGGCTCCTCATGGGTGCACTGTGAAGGAGGGACGGCTAGAAAGAAAACTTGTTTTCCTAATTAGTTTTTACCCATGCATTCAGTATAGCCGGAGAGCGGACCTATGTATTGCCCTCCATTAGGTTCTGTAAGGGCAGTTGCTTGTTTGAAGAGGTGAGACTTTACCAGGGAGCTCTGTGTGTCCTTTGAGATGTACTAGAACCTTTTTGTAATTCCTTGGCCCAAGTAGCTGAGGTTAAGGGGTGGAACATATGTTGGGAGAAAAGAGAACTGATATTCCCCGGACCCCCTGTTACCTGCCAGACAGTACAGGAGCGTAATTTGAAGTAACCACTGTCTTCTTATCACTCCATTTTTGAGATAAGGAAAGGGCAGGTCAGGATAGCCAACCTTGCACAAGGCCGTGCATCCGGCAAAGTGGTGGTGATGGGCTCCTTGGGTGGCCTAACTCCAAAGCCTTGGTTTGTTGGTTTGTTTTTAATCATATCAACTCTGTGGTTTGTTAGTCAGAATATTTAGCCTCTTTAAAGGAAAAGTAACCCACCTGCTCTTTTTGCTTAATAAATCACCTTCCTATAGGCTACCAGCATAGATAACAACTCCAGTCAGTCACTCACATTTATAAGGAGACTTACTTAGGTTATTTTGGAAACTGTCATTCAGAACAGATACTCCAAATTTCGGTTTCAGAATAGGGAGTCAGTTCCCTGGGGAATAAAAATGAAAAACTTCATTACCTTTTTTGTAAATTCATTTTCTAGTTCTGGGCTGGAGGAAGAAGGAGGCCAGAGAATGCTTGGGGCGATACACACGGCTAAATTAAATGCGGTCATCTGATTGGACGAGGAATGTTGCTCAATGTTGTGTAACACTCCAAAAAGGTACCTCAGCAGAACGACATTGGCTCTCGTTAAAGGAAAAGTAACCCACCTGCTCTTTTTGCTTAATAAATCACCTTCCTATAGGCTACCAGCATAGATAACAACTCCAGTCAGTCACTCACATTTATAAGGAGACTTACTTAGGTTATTTTGGAAACTGTCATTCAGAACAGATACTCCAAATTTCGGTTTCAGAATAGGGAGTCAGTTCCCTGGGGAATAAAAATGAAAAACTTCATTACCTTTTTTGTAAATTCATTTTCTAGTTCTGGGCTGGAGGAAGAAGGAGGCCAGAGAATGCTTGGGGCGATACACACGGCTAAATTAAATGCGGTCATCTGATTGGACGAGGAATGTTGCTCAATGTTGTGTAACACTCCAAAAAGGTACCTCAGCAGAACGACATTGGCTCTCGGAAGCTGGTCCAATAGCCTAGAGACAGAAAAATGCGCTCGTAAGCAAGATGGTTCCTTAAAAACGTGCTAAGAACATAGTTCAGATGTGAAGTTGCAGTTTACGAGGTAGCCTGTGAAGTACAGGAGAGAAGGCAAGCACTGAGGATTTTTGGGGTCATCCTCTACACTGTCTTTATGATGAAAATGTAAAAGAATGCAGAAAGATGTCTTGTGGAAAACACGGCTCCTTGAAATATTTCCCTGAACTAGTATAATGTGTTTTAAATTAGATAAGTCCTATAACATTTCAGAATATTCTCAACCAAAACCCTCAAAAAGTTCTTAAACATAACTAAACAGCAATTAAGTTAAAGTGAACCTTTATTTCCGGGTGTGCTGTCTCTAGATGAAACCCCAAACCTTGGCTATTAGGGCTGCAGGTCCGTTATGAGAGCTGCTGCTCTGCTCTACCAGCTCCCACAGTCTTTGTCCCGATTCTCTTTCATTGCTAACACTTTGACGTGTAAGTTGTTTCTACTGTTCCTGTTTTGTCACTGATAAGGGCTATTTAAATGATCATTCACTAAAAATGATTGTTACGACCACCCCGGATTGTTACGAGTCACCCACCATGACTATTGCTTTGATGTAATAAGCACCCGAACATGGGAGAAATTAGGTATTAATTGTTTGATTCCTGTTGCACAAATAGAGCGGCTTTCCTTCCGTACAATGGACTGAAAGTGACTCTGATTTTGTAGGGTTAAGTAATGAAAGACTTTGAACAGAACAAAAGATTAAGTGTATTCAGTGGAAAATATGGCATCTGGCATAAGCTTTCAGATGATCTGATTTTATGGGGGATCTAAGGCTTTGCAGAACGGTGACATCTCAGGGCCCTGCATGTCTCCCGTTCTTGCTGAGTCTGCTTCGGACAGTGATCTGTCATTAGCCCAGCTGGGCATTGTCAATATGGAGTGATGATTCTGGGGGCAAACACTTTATACTCAGTGTGGCCCCTGATGTTCCCTTTGAATTCCCCAAGCTTACCTAAGGGTGGTGTGTAGCAAGAAACACAGGACTGAAGCTGGGTATACTTCTGATTCGCCATTCTGGCCAACCTTTCCTGCACTCGAGTTTATGCTGTAATAAGCCCCTGTGCAGTGCTTTATTGGAGTGGTCTTGTTCTCCTTTTGGTATCACTAATTTCACACTCAAACAACTTTGTAGGCTGTAACTGACAATAGTGCACCTGATACTTGTTTATAGACTTGAAACAATCCTGTCTGGCAGAGAGACAACTGATTTACCTGCACCCCTGGTCCATCCAGTAGTGAAAGCCAGTTTTACATCCATCTGTAAATTCATTTCAGTATTTCTGTTTCAACTATATGAGTTACACTTCTTAATCTTCTTGGAAAGGGTTGTAACATCTTACTGGTTCCCTCATTAGTTAGTAATTTAAATAATATTTTCCACATGTGTTTTATTTATTTTATATAACTTGCAATTTTACCTTGTGCTTTTTTTAAAAAAAATCCTTTAATAGGTTATATAGGATATAATGTTCTGAACAATGAGCAATGAAGTGTAGAATCTGACACAATTTCTGGTTTATATCAAACTATTATGGAAGTGGAGGTAGCATTTTGTTACATGGCTTTGGCACTTGATGCCCACGGCAGTTACACTATATTGTTCCACTGATAAAAGATGTCTATCAAGTTGCAGGTAGATGGTTCTTATTGGAAAGTTGCTCAGGAAAAAATCAGTGGACAAGCACCTGCAAATAAAGACTTAGATGCTTGGGTTTCCATATAACTGAAGTATTGCTTTTTATTAATGGACACTTCTTTTTTATGCTCTTATAATGCAGTAAAGATTCAGGAATGGGGTGAGTTCTACCCACAATTTCCCTTTGCAGGAGTAGAGACAGTGTATTGTTTGTGATCCCACCCAGGCTTTCAACTCCCCTTTCCCTTGAAGTGCCTCTGCTGTGCTGCTGCAGCACCCTCCCAATTCTCCTCTTAGCACTGATGACACTGCATTGCATCGTAACTGCACTTCCTGGCTTATCTATCCGCTTAACAGACTGAGTTCCTAGAGGGGAGGAGACAGGCCTTTTTTTTTTTTTGGTATGACTCTTGTTGCTGAATGTACTATATAAGTATATTCTGGCAAGTAAAATAGTAACCAAAATTGAGATCATAAACTGTAGATCAGAACAACAGTATTAGTCAGTGGATTGCTGGATTTCAACTCTATTAGTTTACACAGAAGGTATACAATATGCAGGTATTCTGTGTTAAGATTAGGGAAAAAACAATGACAGAAGCTAGCAAAAACCTATTTTTAAACTGGTCCCCATGGATATGACTTTAACAGCAGTCATTACTTTAACAGACGAGCTCAAAATAGTTTTTTAAAAGTACTTTTAAGACATAACTAGATTAATTACCTTTGAATTGTATTTATTTTCTCTTCATCATTTCCTTGGTCCATTACACAGACCCAGTGATCATAGAGATCTGATGAAAAAATACTTCCCGGAATATTTCGCAGAAAATCCTGACATAGATAGAAAAACAAATATTTTATTTAGTATTTAATTTTTTTTGATTGTTTCTCAAGGTTTTTCTTTTTCTTTTCTTTCTTTTTTTTTTTTTTAAGTTTTTTTGCCTTAGCTACACCTGCTGGAGAGACAGACAGACACAGTGAGAGGAAAAGTGAGAAAACATGCCCACAGGGATGGCCACACCACAATCCCTTCTCCTTCATTTTCCTCCTGTGACCTTGGGTGCGCGCGCGCGTACACACACACAAACACACACACACACACACAACTAAATTCTATGGTTCCTGTTTTTAAAAAATTGTCCCCACAGATCCCTGATACTGTTCACCTATTTTCAGTCTTTTCTTCTCATGTTTCATTTTCAATAATTTCTGTTTGGAATTTTAAAAAGAATGATTTAATTTTAGTTTAATTTTAGTTTTTAATTTGACCAGAGAGAGACAGGGGGAGAGAGAGGGAGGAAAAGTGAAAAAGCAAGTGCCAGGTCTGGGACTTGAACCGTGGTCAGCCATGTGGGAGTCCAGTGTTTAAATGATTATTCTTATGGCAAATATGTATCAGAGAAATAGAACTTACAGAGCTCTGTGCCAACTCTCCACTGTCACACATAGAAACTGTGTTTTGATTCCCCCTCCCCCTAGGAAAAATCACTAGTATAACTGAAGTCTAGGTTATGGTGGAAAAGGCGAAAGAACCTATGTTGGCTAACAACTTCTGTTTACATACATTTTAGCAAACAACATGACAAGGTTTGCCTATAAACCACCCTAAACCCTTTGTTCCCTTTACTTAAATAGTTGGCTCAAGAAGCGGCACCAAGCTGTCTGTGAGGTTCAGAATCTAGACGCAATCATTTTATTTGTATCTATTCATATGTGTCAGGCACTGTTTTAGGTAACAAGGATAAAGAAGGAAATAAAACAAAATTCTTGTTAACTTAGAACTTTATACTTGAGTGCTCTTGGTGCAACTGAACCAAGGGTTTCTTCCTGTATTGCCCACAGGAGGGCGTTCATATATTTAATGGATGGCAATGTTTGGGGAGCCTGGAACAACACCCTTATGTCTGACAGATCCTACACAACATGTCCACAGTACATTATCCTTTTTTTTTAAGAGAGATTTTTGCTATAGGGCGTGTGTGCTCACCAGAGAGACAGAGACAGAAAGCGTGAAATCACCCCCCAGGAGGATGGCCACATTGCAATCACTTCTCCTTCCATTCTCCTCTCAGGATTTTGAACACGCACATATGTTCGGCATGAGTTTTAGGCCGCTGGGTCCTCGACTGCAGTCAGCTATACAGGAGTGCAGTGACGTAACCACTAAGCCACTGCATTATCCTTTCTCAAGGACAGTAGTCTGCTGAGACCCCTGGTAGAGCTGAATGTGCTGAGAGCAGCTATGACACAAATAGGTATGACCAGGGACGTTTGCTATTTGACTTTTGTTACAAAAAGCTTAAAAGTAAACTAAAGTTAGTTCTGGTCCTAGAGAGCTTGTTCTGAGCCAGCTCTCTGTTGTTTTTGGTATGGCAGTCAAAGGACCCAACTTACACTCTGATCTCTACCTCAGTAAACTTTCCGTAGAAAAGCCCAGTTTCATGTCTAAGGCCTATACGCATGGTTGGCTACCCTTTTGCAAGTTTCTGCTTACAAAATAAAGGCAGATGAAAGTCTGCAGTTAGGTAATTTGAACTCTTGCAGGAAAACCAAATCAATAACTTGATCTCTGTGCCTTATAGCAGGCAACATACAACTTGTTACTTACAGATCATGTGTGTTACCAACATGGAAGCTGTTACAACTTGTTACCTATGTGGGGAGCTCCTCCCCCTGCTTATGATCTCCTCCAGGGAAGGGGCAGACGTTCATCTTTGTACGCGTCAATGCCAAGCACAGTCTCAGCCATAGCAGAGATCATTACTGAACTAGTGCTGTGTGTCATGACAAGTATTAATTGGGGATGAGAGATGGCCAACTGGAAGGCCAATCAGCTATAATAATTTTTTCTTTTAAAGTGCTTAGCAAGAAGAAGGAAAATGGATTGATTCAAAGTCTTCCTCTACTCTATTTTGCAGTACAAGTGTACTTAAATACTTTGGATTTAGATATATCCTCACAAAAGTTACCACTTTTTGGTTAAAGTGACTGAAATTTGAAAAGTCCAAGCTAATTTTAGCTGCTGCACCCACTTTAAAAGTCAGATTTAGAAAAGGCAAAATCTGCTACTTCAAAATGGAGTAGTGACAATAGCTCTTAAATCTCAGTGGAAAAAACTTATGATCTGTCTTGAAGAAAAACATCATGAAGTCTTAAAACCTACTCTTGAAAGATAATAACTTGTAACATCTCAATGAACTCTTCCCACAGCTGGAATAACATGTTACGAAATACAACCACCGTCACAGCTGAGAAGGATGTGAAATCTGGTTCTGAATTATAATCATCAACTCACATCACTCAACGGAAAGTCTCCTCCCCTCCAAAACTAGAGCTCAGGTCATCGGCAGAACTCCCAAATTCATTTGAGATGAGATTTTTGCAGGATTAGATATGAACTTTCCCTCAAAGATATGAACTCTTCCTGATGGATCAAAGTTACAGAGTCTCAAGCAATTTTTGTCCAATTATAGTTTAAAGAGTTAGACTTATTTTGAAATAAAACCAGCATAAGTGAAAAATTAAAGAACTTAAGTGTCACTTAAAAATAGTATTAAAAACAAGAAACCAAACAAAAGCTCAAAAAACTTTTGACTACCTGGGAACCAGCAGTTAGCGTAATGGCTATGTCGCTGGACTCCCACGTAGTCGACTGCGGTTCGTGTCCCGGACCCGGTGGCTTAAAACTCATGCTGGGCATGTGTGCGTGTGTGCGTGACCAAGATCCCAAGAGGAGAATGGAGGGAGAAGGGATTGCGGCGTGGCCATGCCCCCTGGGGGGTGATTTCTCGCTTTCTGTCTCTATGTCTCTCTCTGTCTGCCTGGCGAACGAAAAAAAGAAAACCTCTAAAAAAAAAAAAAAAAAAAAAAAACCAAAAAAACAAAAAACAAACTTTTGACTACCGTTATCTCCTTTCCTGTAATCACAGGAAAATGGGAAAAATATGTAGGTACATGATAAAAATTCAACTGCTTGAACCGTAAGATGCAGGTACATGATAAAAATTCAACTGCTTGAACCTTTAGCCACCCTTCAATTATTTGGATCACTTTGTGTTCTTTTACTTATTTTTCAAACAAATAGTTCTGAAACTTCAAACACAATTGAACTTTTCTAGAATCATGCTTCTTTGCAATTGCCTCAACAATTTAAACACAGTTTTAAGACATGTGGTACTGTGAGGAATACCGTAAAGAAGCTTCTGTAAAACAGGGCCAGCTGGTGGTGTAAGGGTTAAGGCAGTGGGATTCCACATGGCCAGCCATATGGTTCGAGTCTCAGACTCAGAGGCTTGAAAATTACTCTAGGCACATGTGCATGCATGCCCAAAAATCCTGAAAGGAGAGAACAATGGAGAAGGGATTGCGGTGCGACTATTCCTACTGGGGGCAGGGTGTCTGTGTGTGTGTGTGTGTGTGTGTGTGTGTGTGTGTGTGCTTTCACACATTCCGTCTCCAGTGAGTGCACACACCCACTGACAAAAATTAAAAACAAAAAACTCCCCCAAAACAAAGAGGCTTTGCGTCTTCTTAAAAGATGGGAGAAAATCTAGTATGAAAAATAACCCACATATTGTACACATCTGCCCTTGGCCTATACATCTGGCTAAGCACACCATGCATATCTCTGTCGTATTCCAGAATTGAAAGGAAATCACATCCTTGTGCAAAACAGATTAGCTAACCCTAGCTCAGACTCTCCAGTTCTCAAGTGGTATTTTATTTCAAAAGTCTGCAGCAGGGTTTGTTTAAGGCAGACATGACCCATTTACCAAGAAAGATCTTACTGTTCAAAGAGTTGGAAAGTAAGGTTCTAGAAGCAGAAACCATTAAAAAGGGGTATTCAAGAGGGTTCTTCCTTAATTTGGTTTTTATGCTTCAGGCTGTGGATGAAGGTGGGGACCCTGTCGCTATGAATGCCACGTCTTTGGGAGAAGGGAGCCTGTGACAGGAATACAGAACTATTACGGGGTCAGAAGCTCTGCTTATAGCTGGTCTTAACTCCGGGATTTCCAAAAACACAGGGCATTTCCAAGAATATAGGAGGGGGCCAGCAGATGGCAGAACAGTTATGTCACTGGACTCCTACATGGCCCATCGTGGTCTGAGTCCTGGATCCAGTGGCTTAAAACTCACACCCAGTGCATGTGTGTGCGTACCCAAGATCCCAGGAGGAGAATAGAGGAGAAGGGATTGTGGTGTGGTCATCCCCTTCCTGGGGGGGTGATTTCTCACTTTACCTCTCACTGTCTCTGTCTCTCCCCCTGACAAGCACATGCACCCTAAGAAAAAATTCCTCTCTCTATATCTATATCTATATCTATATCTATATCTGTATCTGTATCTGTATCTGTATCTGTATCTGTATCTATATCTATCTATCTATCTATCTATCTATCTATCTATCTATCTATATGGAGAAAACAAATTTCTAGAAGAATTCTGTAATTCTATAACTACAGATGCAACCTAAGTAACCACGGGTGAGGAAGACTAAATGTGGTCAGGGTAAAGGAAGGCCAGATGTTGGAGTCAGTCCAGGTCCATTTTTTTTCTTTTTTTTTTGGTTACAGGGGGCATGCGCTTGCCAGGAAGACAGAGACAGAAAGTGAGAAATCACCCCCCAGGGGGGATGGCCACACCACAATCCCTTCTCCTCCATTCTCCTCTTGGGATCTTGGGCACGCACGCACACGCGCCCAGCGTGAGTTTAAGCCACCGGGTCTGGGACTCGAACCGCGGTCGACTACATGGGAGTCCAGCGACATAGCCATTACGCTAACTGCTGGTCCCAGTCCAAGTCCATTTTTAAAATAAAAGGCATTAGGGGACAGGGACATGATGATTATGCAAATGAATGGAATTTTCAATGGTTTCAGCAGTTTTCTGCCTCAGTTATAAGGTAAATGTTTATTATGATAAACTTCTGTAACTATATTCAAAAGATTTTAAAAAGCTTTTGAAAACTTTTTCTTCATTAGGAAGGGAGTGATATAGTAAGGAAATTATTGGGAGGAGGATATTTTAATTTACTTTCTACTTGGAGTGGCAGAAGTGAAGATGACATTTGTGCGGGATGAAAAAACTTAAAAAGCATGTTTGACATACTGTATCACGGGGAATGGCTTTTCAGGTCCAGTGTTGACTTCGTAAATTGTTTCTAATACTTTTTTAGATTCTAAATCTATTATGGTTCTTTGCATATAGGAATAACGTTCATAATGAAAAAAGACAGTTTTCTTGCTCCAGTGATATACCATGGCATAGAAAAAGGAGAACTTTTCTTACCTTTAAGACAGATGCTATCACAAAAATGGATTCACAGTCTAGGTGTACTTCGACTCCAGAATTCAGTTTCTCTTTTAACTCTCTGCAGGATTTCACATTGGCTGATTGCCTGAAGATACCTTTTGTGAGGGGTCCTTTTTGGTTAAGAAGAAAAAGCATATCCTGTAGGAAAGTGAATAAAAAAACAATTAAATGGTACTTCTCACATTCCAAACAAGGGGCTGCATACCTGCCTTCTTTGGCAGCCAGAAACTGGATTGGAGCTGACAGCCAGATGTCTATTATAGAGTAGAATGGTGGCTCCCTAAGGACCCGCAATTTTAGTTAGGAGGGACAACTTCAGGTGATCTACTGCACAACATAGTGGCTACAGTTAAGAACAACTTACTGCATTTTTGAGCATTGAGAGAGTAGACTTTAAGTGTCCTTATTTTGCTTTGGATACAAGCAAAATCCATGGGATTTGAAACCTAGTTATGCCACTTATTTATGGTGTAACTTCGGTAAAGTTCTGAGGCTTCTTAAAATATTTGTAAAGTAGAGATGATAGTCACCACCCCCTAAATTTGCTATATAGGACAATGAAGTGGCTGGTGTCTGTCACTAATAGATGCACAATGCAGCATCAAATACTATCAATTATTTAATATACTAGTTGGAGATGATACAAACTCACTGACTTTCATGTGATCCATTTTATACACAGGAGATGACTAAAGGCCAGAGAATGTGTCTTTATGCTTAAACACTTGAAATAAATGAAACAGGTTTTAAAAGTTTGAGCAGTCTATGTTGCTGAAGTGATAAGACTTTCAGAACACTGTGGAGGTAAAGAATTGATGAGGGATAATGTGGATTGAATTCTACAGAGCTAATTCTAATTTCTCTGAATAGGCAAATGTAGCTCTTTCCTGAAACTGGTAGACTAGATTATCTCTTCCTTATGATTCTGCAATAGCTAAATCATATTTTTATTCTTTGAAGTGATAATAAAGATGCTTAGCCAAATCCAGGGTGTCTATCAAACACAACATTTCCTTTGGGGACAGATTTACCTCCAAGAACTCTCCCTTTCCAAACCTTCCTTTCCAATTAGTTGACAGACCAAAACGAGACTTACCAAGACAGGTTTGGGCAAATTGTCGTTCTCACAGATATTTAGCAGAGAAACTCCAAAGAGCTGTCCTGGCCTTGGAGATGTGGGTGACACGGGCACATTGTCCAGGTGAGTGCTGGAACCTCGCCAGAAGGCCCAGTTAATTATCGATCGTCTCCTTTTAAATGTCTTCTGACCTGAATCTAAAAAAGGGAGTTTAATAGAAAAAGTAGTTTAATTCACTTCATCTTATTTCTACAATTTCCATTTTACAGTAGTTTGTTACTGTGGCTCAAAGAGACAAAATGGTTAGAAATGTCCTTTCATAGGTTGACAATTTGATCTATTAAATTTTACAAATTGAGGAAGAACCAATGAAGGAAGGATCTAGTATTTGAATTCTTTTCCCATCTGTTTTTGGGACATTACTGGTCTATTTACTTGAGTATTGGCATGGAACTGTCAAAAATGGAAGAAAGCCTTGTAATGACTATCCCATCACATAGATTTTTCCCATTTTAAACATAACACTAGGGATACAAAAAAGTTAATTGAATTAGTCCGAAATTAAACAGGGAGAAAGAGTGAGGAGGTAGAGGAGGGTGGGGAGGAGGAGCAGAGGACTTGTCTCTACTCAAATGTTCTCTAGAAGAGTGAACTCACTACCTGTGCTCTCTACCACTGAGAGCACACATAGGCCGATAACCTACAATTTCTTCCCCCTTCTTTGTAACTGCACAGATTTTCAGGTATCTTTTCAGTTCTCAGCTTTACAAAGTATATTTAAGGCAGCACGCAGGGATGAAAACACGGATGCAACTTGCCTTTGCCATAGGAAGTTTACAGTTTCATAGCCAAAGGACTGGTGGTGGTGGGAAGAAAAGTATAGAAAATAAAATGGACCGTAAGAACCAAGTACCGAAAACCTTCAGAGGCAAAGAAGTCACATCCACAGTAGGGGCAGGGGGAGTGATTCTGGAGGCATTTGCATTTGATTTGGATTTTGAGTGGACAAGATTTCAACACAGAGCATCTAGCACAGCATCTGGAACATAGTAAAAACTCAATAAATCCATTACTGAAACTGAGAGATTTAAGTGGGAAAAGACAGTATGAATGAAATAGGCAGAAGAAAGATGTTATGATAATGTCAAATGTTTTTTGATGTCATCTCTGTCCTTTTTTTTTCCTTCTTCTTCAGTCTGCTATAGGTCAGTATACTCACCATCTGGAACACAGTAAAAACTCGATAAATCCATTACTGAAACTGGGAGATTTAAGTGGGAAAAGATAGTATGAATGAAATCGGCAGAAGAAAGATGTTATGATAACGTCAAATGTTTTTTTGATGTCATCTCTGTCCTTTTTTTTTCCTTCTTCTTCAGTCTGCTATAGGTCAGTATACTCACCAGAGACAGAGAGGAAGAGAGGGAAAGTGAGAAAGCACCCCTCTCCTCCAAGCAGGGGCTGACCATGCCACATTCCCCTGCACTATCCTCTCTGGATTTTGGACAAGCATGCACATGCACTCAGTGCGTTTTCCAGGCCGTGTGGTCTGGGACTCGAACCTCGCAGTTGGCCATGTGGGATCCAGCTGCCTTAACTACTGTGCCGCTGGCTGGTCCATCTGTGTCTAATTCTAACATGAAAGTTAACAGGTTCACACACAATTTGACACATAAACAGTTCATGGGCTGGCCCAGCAGTGCCATGATTAAGCCCTGTGTGTAAGAAGCTGAATACCCGTTGGCCTGCCAATGTTTGATTGCCTCCCCGGGGTTTAAAAACTACGTATGTGTGTGCATGCCCCAAATCCTGATGGGATGGAGAAATGGAGGAAAGAGATCACAGTGTGACCACACCACAGTGGAGGCTGCTTTCTCTCTTTCTGGCTAGCATTTACTTTTTCTGGCAATTAGGAAAGAAAAACCAGAAACACAGTTCTTTAAGGTTTCAGTTTTTTTCTTTATTTAAAGAGATTTTTGCTATAGGACACATGAACTCACCAGAGAGATGGAGAGAGACACAAAGCAAGCAATCACCACCTATGGGGCGGAGGTGGGGGGAGGGATGGCCATGCCACAATCACTTGTCCTCCCTTTCCTCTTGGGATTTTGGGCATGCACACACGTGCCCAGCTTGAGTTTTAAGCCGCTGAGTTGGGGCCTCAAACTGCAGTGAACTATGTGGATGTCCAGCAATGCAACCAATACACCATCTGCTGGTCTCTGAGGTTCCACTTCTAAAACAGGCTGAATCCCTCCTCCCGCCCCTAGTAAGTACCACTCCCCTAGTAACCACTATAAACTCTGGGCAAACCAGCCAAAATATACATACTTGCAGGCACTACAGAGTGACCTAAAGAAGGCAAATACCGGAGGTCAAAGTTAAACTGGTGAGAAGGGCACGGCGCTGTGTGTGTTTCCCATTTTTACAGCTCTTAGCCTATGGACAGACTCCAGGTGGGATGACCAAAACTTGGAGAGAAACTCAACTCTTACTGACTTGAAGAATTAGTGCATGGAGACAGAGGTACCTATGGTAATTAGAAAGTGAGGGGGACCCTAGAAAGAAGAAAACCTGATGACAGTGGCCCAGTATTATGTGTAAATTCTGCCTAAATCTCTGGCTGAGCCATGAAGTGTGCATTTAAGGGTAGATTCAAAATAGCTTGCAATTAAGCTTAATGAAATTGAGATTTGAAGAGCACAATGCCCAGATAGCACTCACTCTTGGTTTGACTCCCTTTTTCTCCAGGAAAAGTACTTGAAAATTAGTCACTAAACCTGTCTGTATGACACTGTTTCCCATGACACCCAACTAAGTGACCTGGAGATGGAGATGTGGTTAGTAGTGTCAGTCAAATGCTAATTTCAAAATGTCTGTAAGGGAGCTTTAGTGCTTATTTCTCCCATGTTCAGAACGGTCTACTTAAACCAAACACTAAAGAGAGAAAGTGGTGGGATGTACACTGAAGAAACATTTTACCAAATGGCGTTAAGGCCAGTATCCACACTGCGGCTCGTCAGGGTACAGTGAGTCTACTGTCACTGTACACATGCTCCGGTGTGTAAAGCTCTGTTGTGGTTTCAATGTGTCCCTTCAAAATTCTAGTAATAACATTTTGGTGAATGGCCGTGATGATGTTAGGAAGGTGGAGACTTAACCTGATCATGGTGTGAAAGGTGAGGCAGTTGGGAAGTGATTAGGCATCAGGGCGGGACCTCCATGATTGAGTTCTGGAGGGTTTAGAAGGAGAGGGAGTGAGACAGGGGTGTTCCCCACTCTGTGTATCTTCCCGCTGCCCATCATGTCACTCACCACCAAGAGGACCCTCCGAACCATGAGCTGAGTAAACCTCTATTGTATAAGATTCCCCAGACTCAGGTATCTCTTATTATCAGACTAGAACAAGTTCTTTGGCTCTGGAGTCAAGAGTCTGTGTAGATGACTGGTTCAGACACTTACATGGGGAAGGTACTTTACCTCTTTCCTCAATATTAAAATGATAAAGGATTACTTCCTACCTACCCCTCAAAGGCTTACTGAGAGGAATACATAGGATAATGTATGAAAAGTACTACTTTGCCCAGGGCATGGGTCATAGCATCTTGATGAGAGCTACCGAGACACTGAACTGCTCCCCACAAAGATTTCCCTTTTGTTTGGTAGCCTGCAGGAGATATGCAGACATGAAGGAAAATCACCCTTTTGCTTAAACAGAGCATTTTCTTCCTGCCTTGACAAAACAGAAACTAAAACCACGCTTTTTTTTTTTTTTTGGAGAGATTTTCACTGTAGGGCGTGTGCGCTCGCCAGACAGAGAGAGACATAGAGACAGAAAGCGAGAAATCACCCCCCAGGGGGGATGGTCACGCCACAATCCCTTCTCCTCCATTCTCCTCTTGGGATCTTGGGCACACACGCACACGCACCCGGCGTGAGTTTTAAGCCACCGGGTCCGGGACACGAACCGCGGTCAACTACGTGGGAGTCCAGCGACATAGCCATTACGCTAACTGCTGGTTCCCTAAAAACCACCCTTTCATAAAGAAACTAAAATGACCCTGTCATAAATCTGGGGAGAGTTTCTATGTGTCTTGCTGTCAGTCTGCAAGTATGTTTAATGTGTATGCTGCATGTTTGTACTGTTTTGCTGGCTCACATTTTACCTGGTTTTATTTCTAAAACTACCAGGTTTGATTTTTTAGCTTTCACGCACTTAGGAAGAATGCTCTATCAACAACTAGCTAGCCTATGATCACAGACAGAGGATAAAGTAGAAATTGAGTCCTTTATTTATGGTAACTACTTTGAGCTGTAGCCATGGTTTTGTTATACACAGCATCGAATCTGAGGGTTCAGGTTCCCTCTGGGGATGAGAAAAAAAATTCATTAAAGTTTACCTTATCATAGAGCTTTTAATGCCTAGTTCTTACTTTCTCAATGTTCAAGGCTGAAGAAATAATATCCTATTGCTATGAAAAATATAAGGATAAATGTAAAGCAAACTAAAGTCACGGTATATCTAGCTCTCTTAAATAACCTTGGCAAGATTCAAGCTACTGTTTTTCCATGCCTAAGAATTACAATTCTTAAAACTTCGGATTTAATTATAATGACAAACTTTACTTTAATTAGAAGTTATATTCTGACCATGTAACTCCTTAAAATTAAGAATACTGCTTTTTGTTTTTTAAGGCTAGGAAATAAATAAATATATATGAGAAGAATATCAGAATGACAGGGAAAATAGAAGAAAAAGGCATGTCTCATATTTCACCGTCTGTCACAGACGTTCATTCAGAATCAGCCTGCTGTAGGCATAGGACCAGGAGTTGAGTAGAGGCTAAACCTCAATCTAGGAACACAGTCAGGAAGAGCCCACGGAACTCCTAAACTCATCCACTTCACTCAATCTTTTGTTTAACTTCTATGTTCTATACCCTGGACAAAGCCCTAGTATGAGGTAAAACTCACAGTCTAAAGGGACATGTAGCTATGTAGTCACAACCCAATTTTTTATGCATTAGAGATATGAAAAGTACTCTGGAGATGTGGGGGCAACTATTTGCCCCTCCAAAAAATATTTGTCACCTATGTGGGAGTCCAGCTACGTGCCATTATGTCATATGCCGGTCCCAAGGATGCAACTCTGTCTTCAGTGTAAGACCGTATATTATGAGGTCTTCTCAACACTAAGGCATATTGGGAGGACTATGTCTATCTATAGTTGGGCTGATTAATGGGGATATCGCTCATAAGCTAATGAGAAAAAAATCTCTCTTAGAAATGGAGAGATGGGTTTTTGCCTGTGGCTTACTTTTTTCTAGTGGTTTGAAAATGTAATTAAATTGTTCTCAACCAAAATATAGTTTACCATTAAAGGAGAGGAGATAACTATTTCAAATTTGAGCTAAGTTTGTATAGCTGGTATTAATGAGATGAAGTAGTCCTTGATGACTAATATCTTCATTAATTTGAAGTCAGGTCATTGACAGAAAGTGACAAGGTTGGATGTGTGTGGGGATGTGAATAAAAGTTGGTTCAAGGAGTTTAAAAAATGCCTTAAAGAAACAAAGTTACACTTACCCAGTAGGAAGTGCCTGAGGATCGTCATTAATGATACCAAACTGCCCTGCTATAGAGACCTTGTATTTTCTTTTTCTCCCAGAAGGAATGTGCAATTGCCAGAGACAGAGAGAAAGCACCCACCAGTGTGAGTATGGTCTCACTACAATCCATTCTTTTTCATTTCTCCACCCTGTCAGGATCTGGGGCATGCACACACAGGAGTCTGGCATGTCTTTGACACTGCTAGGGGTTTTGAATTACAGTTGGCCAATTGGGATCGGCCTTATTTAACATTAGGCTGTGGGGGTTAGCCACAGAGATGAGATTTAACTAGGTGAATAGGAAAGTAGGAAGGAGGGTCAAAGAACTGAGGTTATCTGTAAGAGATTATAATGACACCCTTGGGATTCAAGTTGGATAAGGAGAGGTTTTGCTGGATGGAGAGAGGAGGCACCTGGCCTTCTAGAGAGGAAAAACAGCAACAGAGGCTAGTTTAAGAAGATAAAAGTCTCTTTTCCCAATAAAATGTCAAATCTTGATTCAGTGGGAAGAATAGGAATGTACGTTTCATGCTGGTGTTGCAATTATTTCAGAATTAATTGATGTTATAGTATGAAAGTAGTTATAAGTTAAACACTGTTAAATGCATTAGAGGAAGTTCTGTTAAAGTGATCTACATTGCGTATTAACTTTTAATATGAGACAAACCTTTATAAGAGTGCTGATTTAGTTAGTCTTGTTTTTTTCTAAGACTGGATAGCTATATACAGATGTTTTTTAGAGTAATGTAGCTCTGCAACGAGGTTAAAAACTGAGCTATTTTTTTCATGAATGCTATATCAACTGGATTACACACAGATGAAGAATTTCCCCTGGTATACAGATGGCCCTAATAATCTGTCATGTGGAAGGAAGATGACCAGTTAAAGCCTATACATCCCTTTACACATTACTTCTTCGGCCAGAGTCTACTTGTTTGCAAATGTAATGGCACTATTCATTGTATCTCTCAGTTGGTTCCAAATAACAAAGGTAATGCGGAAATTCAGCATTGGTTTTCTTTTTAAAAATATTTATTTATTATTTCAATTTGTCCCGAGAGGGACAGAGCAAGAGACAGAAAGTAAGAAAGCAAGTCGCCTGTTCTGGGACTAGAACCGGGGTCGGCCAGTGCTCTTAACCACCATGCCACCTGCCCCTCAGTATCGGTTCTCTATCATACCACTATCCTTTTTGGTAGCCATTTTCTTGTTTCTTATACAGGCTTACTTCCAGATTGAGAGCCAAAGACCAAACTTGGGTTAAGGTGAATTAAGGTACTCTTAGGTTGAATATCTCTTATTCTAGAGCAGGAGTCCCCAACCAGGCTGCACAGCAGGAAGGAAGTGGGTGAAGCTTCATCTGTATTTACAGCTGTTCTACCTCTCGTCAGATCAGCTGTGCATTAGATGCTCATAGGAGTGCAAATTCTACTGTGAACTGCACATGTACAGGAACTAGGTTGTGCATTTTCACGAACTGCTCTGGGTCTGTTGAAAAACTGTCTTCCATGAAACTAGTTGGGACTGCAGTTCTAGGGTGTATATTATGAGGTAGTAAGAAGCAACTACGCTTACAGGAAATTTGTATTAGATTCATTAGTTGAGAGACCTATGCTGAAATTAGTCTCATATACTCCTCAGTACCAGGTTCAAGGCACAGCGTCAGTCTTCTGACACCCATCACCGACAGTCTCCATTTTTTTTTTTTTTAATAAATTGACCATTTAGGAGTGCACAGTGGAGGGTATTGTAGTACAAAGAAAGCACTGAAGCACCTGCAGCACTGCCTGGTGCCTTCCACTCCGCAGTGGGCATAAGGTGAAAGGGGAAGGAAGGGTGAAGAAAGAAGGGACAGACTATTTTATCACTAGCTGCTGGTTATATGTCAGTCCTGCCTGTTGATTTTTAAAACCATCTCTTCTTTTAAAAAGACTTAAATTTCAAAGAATATGTACCTTATCTGGTTGGAAGCTTGGGTATCTGCCTTTTACCAAATTTGTGCTCAGAAATGACAACTTTGGCCAAAAGAAGGCCATTCTGTGAGAGGGGAAGCGACTCACCACTCAGATGCTGGGCTGCAGCCAGGCGACTGGGCTTCAGGATGAACTGGCACTGCATCTCTCGGGGCAGCTGTTCCATGAGGAAGGGCTCCTGGGGGTTGACTGGGGTGCTGGAGTCCTTTGATCCCTGTGTCAGGAGTACAGTGTCTCGAAGATGGCTCATTTTAATTCCGTAGGGATATTCATGACCTACACAGAGAAAAATGAAGGTTACTTTGTGTGCTACAAATGGGATTATTATGCAGTTTACTCTCAGAACTTTTGGTATAAAGATCCTTTTGTTGGCTAAATGGTCTCCATGCATATACTCTTATAGTTGGAGACCACTGCGTAATACAGGTGGCCCTACCTAAGTAGTTTGGTGGACAGGGGGAGGCAAAAAATCTGTAAAGAATATCTTGTTTGGAATGAATGCACAGATCACATTGTGAGCTGCATAACCTAGTTTGCATCTCAGAATATATAAAGGAAATCTTCAGCAAATCCCTGTCCCCTTTCAGCTTCAAATCCATGATTTAAAATATTTACCCATCATGCAAGGATCAAAAAAGCAAACATTAGTGGCTGAATGATACTTCGAGAATAGGGATAGAACGATATATGTCAAGCATCCCTATTAGTCCTATTATATACCACAAGATGTCTGTCTGAAAAGACATTTCATTACTTTTTGTTAGTTACATCATTAGTTTCTGAAGAGCATAGGAACTGGTTTTGATTTATGCTGCCCTCTGAGGTTAGTGTTCATAGGCAATAACCAGAAGGAAGACTACAGAAACAGAAGCAAAAAGGAGTTTACAAACTAGAGAAACTAAACCCTGGACATCTGACTGCAACATGATTTTTGCTCTTTAGTACTCTAAGTAATTGGGTCCTCTCCATGTAATCCTCAAACACCGGAAGATTCAGTTCCCTTTTATTACTGACTTATCACTAAATGCAACTTTGTGAACTTTTCCCTTTCCACACAGCAGCACAGGCGTCTGGTGTCAATATCCCATCCACACCATCAAGTGCGGCAGAGACTGTCAGAGATTAAGAAAAAAGAGAAATCTATAGCGGCAATAAAGCAAACTGAATTTAGCCAGCAGCTAATCTGTAACTGAGATTTTCGAGGCACATTAAAATATACAATTGCTCGTAGCGGTCAGATGGTGATGTAGTGGTAAAATATGAAGCCCTGCAAGGCTGGCCCACATAGGAAGGTTCTGGGTTAAATCTGGTGACTTCCTTGAGTATACTGGGCACATATGAGCCCATCACCCAGAGCTGGCTGTTGTCTCTCCCTGTTTCTCTGATATGGAAGAAATCAATCATGACCCGCAGATTTTAGTAAGAGCTAGTAATAAAGCTTAGCATCTACCTAAGTTAATTAATGCATTTTATTAAAACATTTAAAGTATTTAATTATTGCTCATTGACTTTAAAAAAAGGGACAATATTAAAAGCAAATATAATGGGGCCAGCAGATGGCCTAGTGTTTATGTTGTTGGACTCCCACATAGCTGACAGCAGTTTGAGTTCCAGACCTGGTGGCTTGAAACTAAAGCCGGGCATGTGTGCCCAAGATCCTAGGAGGAGATTGAAAGAGAAGGGATTGTGGTGTGGCCTCCCCTCCACCAGGGTGTTGTGTGTTTTTTTTTTTTTGGCCTCCCCTCCACCAGGGTGTTGTGGTTTTTTTTTTTTTTTTTTTACTTTCCCTTTCACTGTCTGTTTCTCTCTCCCTCCGGTAAGTGCATGCACCCTAAAGCAAAAACCTCTTTAAAAAAATTCACACACACACACAACCAATTTTGTTTCCAGATCTGTGAATGATCATGTCCTACACTCTAAGTCAGAGCATGTACATTTGGTTTCAGGTTACTGAAACACCCTGAATTACACCGTAGTGATCTCATGGGTAAATGAGAGGATTACGTGAGATAGTGCCTACAATATGCTTTGTACAACATCTGGCAGGTAGCAAAATTGTTAACAAATCACCAACATCATTGTCCTTTCAAGATCAGCTATAGATTCTATCCATTTATTTAACATTTATTTAAATTTGCTAGAGGGAACATACGCTCACCAGAAAGAGGGGGCAGGGAAAGCAAGACATCACCGCCCCGCCCCATTGGGCACGGTCAGGCCGCAATCCCCTCTTCATTTCTCTGTCCAGTTGGGATTTTGGACACATACAGACATCCACCATGTCTTTCCAGCCACCAAGTCTGGGACTCAAAATAGCCACCTTAACTACCACACCACCAGCTGGTCCTTTGTCTTTTAATTGCTCTATTTCTGTTGACCACACTGAATGAAATGACTGATTCAGAAACATTTTTTTAACTAAATGATATAAATAAGGCGAGGTACAACCCATTTACCAATAATTTCTCAAAACAAATGCTGAACAATTTCACTAGAGAAATAGCAAAGTATCTAATAGATCAGTCAAGATTTTTAAGAGTCTATGATGCCCAGGAAGGGTCTGGGCACATGGTAGGAATCATATACTCGTAAATCCCTCTATAGAGACAACAGAGTAAACAGGGAAGGGAACAAGAAATTCCAGAACTGAGTATAAAAAATAAGCATGTAGAAAAAGAAATACTAATACTGCTTTCTTACAGAAAAAAAGATTTAGCAAGATAGCTCTGTGAAGTGAAAAAACAAAGATTTTCTCTACCATTGACTGCTTGAATGAAGAGGTGTGTGTAAAATTTTTGATATTTTTAAAATGAGTATTTGTGTTTAGGACTATATGAGCAATTCTTTGAGATACTCAGAATTAAAACCCAGTTGATGCTACCTTAGGTTTTTGCAGAAACTTACCAATGAGTGGGTATGGTGCCTCTTCTTTGCCAGAATTGACCCACAACTGGTAATCTCTCTCAGATCCCTTGGAAATAAAAGACACAATAAGTCTTTACTTTTGGTACTTGAATAAAGACACATTTTTTTTGGGCTTTTTTATGCTTTGCAAAAAAAAAAGAAAAAATTCAAGGACAATATAAAGCAGACTGATGGGGATGCTTATGGTTTCTGAAGACGGTAGTGCTGATTCCTAAAATCATCTCCCTTCTCCCAGTCCCGAAAAGAGGACTCAGATATCCTGCTCTTTTTCCCCCCAATGAAGTCCAGAGATCCACAAAAAGCAACTGCATCCAGCTCTTACTTTATTGTACGAGGTAGCCCATGGATAGAAAAATGAGAGCTAGGCCTCGGACAAAGGAAGAGGAAACTTCCTGGTTCTAAAGGATAGTATCTTCTTTACCGTGCTGCCTTCCAATAAGTCTCTGCCTTCCCAGAGAATTCTGCACTTCAAAATGTCCCAGCAAATACAACCTTGTCACCCAGAAAGTCACAAACACTGCTATTCTGATTAAAAAGTAAAATCTCTAAGCTCAGCTGCTGCTAAGCAGGAAATGAACTACACCAAGAGGCTTTGAAGAGATAGGCAGTTGGCACAGTCCGCACTGTTTGAATAAGTCCAGTTTTGGTGACAGAAAGGACGAGAATTCTAGCTAGAGAATAGGCCCAGTCATGGGAAACAATAAAATTGTTCAATAGCAGGATTTTAGGTTGGCAACACTATAAACCCCACTTGAAAGAAATAATACTTAATTAAAAACTTTGCTGACTCCTCTAGAAGGAATAAAGCAAAAAATGTTTTCAATGAAGCTAGGAGACACAGTCAAAATTTGTTAGCAATATTTCATGTCCTTGCTGCTAACTTCTGATTAAAACTCACCCTTGCCCCAGGTAATGGCAGAAGCTAACAGCAAAACAGGAAAAGTGTGGACTACACACTAAAAGGTTGTTTATTTCTCAGTTCATTAGAGGCACCAGCCATCTCACCCTTAGGTTCTGCAATCAGCCAATATGGCTTCTAGCCACATGTTCTCTACATAAAAACTGACTACCGAGTGAATCATTTGGAATTTATCATCCTAAGACTGATTATTGGGATGATGACATAATAATTAGGAAGGAAAGGTGAAGAAGCAGGAGAACATAAGGGAAGAACAGTCACATAGTAACAAGTAGAAGGGGGAAACAAAGCTGAAATGTATTTAGAACCTGATAACTAAAAAAACTTTTTGTATATAGCATACACAATAAAAATACATGGGGCCAACAGGTGGCATGGTGGTTAAGGACGCTGAACTCCCACATGGCTGACCACAGTTCGAGTCCTGGACCTGGCAGCTTGCTTTTTCACTTGCCCTCTCTCTCTCACTCTGTCCCAGTCTGATCAAATTAAAATAAATAAAGTTAAATAAAATAATTCTTTTTAAGAAAACATCACTCTAAAATTATAATACAATCTAAAGCTTTTTAGTTCACAGAAGTTTTAAAAAAGGAGTAGAAGAATAGCACCCACACACTTCAGCTTCACTGTCCTCATTTTCTGCTGTGAGGGACAAAATAAGACTTGAGCATCTCTAATAATTAGCTGTCTTATAGTGGAAGATATTGACATGAATCTAAAGTATCAAAGTTGTTTTGGGGGGGGTGGTAAGAAAGTGGTCAGAGGTTAATTTCTCCATAATAATAAAGAAGTTGCATACATTATCAAAGGTTGTTTTTAATTAAGAATATGTAACAAGGTAACTTACAGTTATCCCTAGCAGTGGTAATGACATGTTGATAACTTCATTTGCTGTATCTGAATTCATTACTGTTATAGTTTTAGACTGCAGGGGAAAAAAAAGAAATAAAGCTAAACATTAAAGAATTCTAAAACATATGAACAGATCATCATTGTCAATTGACTGCCCAAAAGTAAATCTTGACCTGAAGTGTGGACAGAGTAAATTATCAGATTTACATAAACTTTTGATTATAATTTCCATTATGTAAGAGGGGACACCTCAAAAAAATCTATGAAAAATAGAATTTAAGTATGATAAATGATTTAAGTATGAAATAAAAATGATATAAAAAAACCCTACTGGATCATTGGAAAAGTCATGGCACATTTTTGCATAGAAAAACAGAAAAATATGCCATGACTTTTCTCATTACCCAGTAAATGAAATTCAGTGATTTTAGTCATTTGTCCTTCTATTATACTATTTCGTTCCTGTAATCTAATTACTTGGCATGACAAATTGCCTCTAAAAGTTCTGTTTTTAAATGCACTGATTTCAAATTTTGTTCCTTGTGGCTCCGAGGATTATGAAAAAATGTCTCAGAGCCTGACAGGAAGAGCCTGGAGCACCCAGCCCAGAGTCCGTCTTCTATCAGAATGGCATGGCTATGGCACATACCAGGCTTTAACTGTAGAAGGCATTTCAAAAGGGGAATCTTGCCTTTTTAATTTTTTTGAAGTCTGAAAAATCCTTTTATTCAACTTAAACCTCTCATAAAGTCTTTTGTAAAGTGAAGAATCTATCCTCTCAATTACCTGGTTTCTAAGATAACCGTTTTTCTTAACACTAGGCACACATATTCAAAACAGTAATTATAGGAAGTGTATTTTTCCCTGCATGCCTTTCTGATTGGCAAAACAAATTAATTTCAGCAGACAGAGTTCTTTGGCTAATAAACAAACAACAGACAAAACTGAGAATGTGACTGTTCTGTTCAATGTGAAGAGAATTCACTGGCAGGTTGTACATGAGAAAAGACCAAGGGTAAAGAAGGCTCCCCATACATGCAACCCTATTTGGGAGAACCACTTTTTCTAGAAACAGGGCTCCCTAAAGGAGACTTCTGTCATAAAGGCTACTTCAGAGAGCAAAAGCCAAAGTACGTCCATCATCCTGGACTTAGCCAGCATACGAGTGATAAAGTCAGAGCTCCTGACCTGACCCCATCTCTCGTCTTCACTTCCAAAGTGAGAGTGGGACATCAGTCCTTCTCAAGCACACACTTTCCATATACTGAAAAGAAGGCGTTAAAAAAAAATTCAGAAGGTTTTCCATAAAAATTCTAAATGTAATCAACTGCCACCACACCTGAATCAATGCAGGCAGAAACAATTGTACCCCCTCCCCCATACACACTTTGCCAGAGGAGAACTCTGCAATCTCAAACTATAAAATTTATGAATCTCCCTGGAGCAGTGACATCTGGCATTCAGGATTCGATCAGAATGTTTGCATAACGTTTGGCCAAAATGTAACTGTTTTGCACTATGTCCATATTCTCCCACACACAAGTAAAACTGTTCTGTGTGATCTAGAGCTGCTGTGAGCTCTGACAGTCGCACTATCATAAAATATTCTGGTTTCCTCCTTTTTGTCGTTGATAACATCTTGGCTCTTAAACTACAATTTCAGATGTCGAGTTATATGTAGTAAGTGGGGTTAAAGACTTAAAACGTTCATTTGACCACTATGATATAAACACTACGATATAGGAAATGATGGTGCCTTAAAAATGGCACCTCTCCCAGATTACCCGCTTCTTAACCTGAGGGATTCAGTACCTAAAAATTCAAAGAATAAAGTTCTTTTCAAAAACCACTCTCTACTTAAGAAGTGACTAGTTAAAAAAAAAAATTGCCAAATATGAATAGGAAATGCCTCCTGTGGAAATAGCTCTACTATAAGCTTCTACAGCTGCTATTGAAAAGATCCAGAGAAACATCCATGCCAGAGGGGAAGAAAGAGACACCTGACAAGCAATATTCTTTCCAAGTATAAACGTTAAATCCTGTAGTTAATATGAACTTCTGTTGCTTCACTTTCTACAGAGTTTACTTTTTAGACAGATGTACAAAGACACATGTATACTCATGAAAATATACTTTCCCTTGCTGGTATTTCTAAATGCCTACCTCCCATAGAATACACATTGCCTTCCTGCCTGCCTACCTGCCCAACTCTTTTTATCCATGACATTCTGCCTTATGCAGGGACTTGGAATTTAACCTTCTGGCTTAGAAACACTTACATAGGCACAATTCCCAATGTCCTTGGCGAAGATTTTGAGGGGAATGCTCTTCGGGTAGTCCTTCTCTTTCTCTAGATTGATGTATCTAATCAAATGCAACAACAACCCAAAACAACACTGAGTCAGATGGAATTCTCTAATGGCTCATTTAAAAAAAAAATCAACCTATTCTGTTAATGTTTCGATATACTTATATACTATTTTTTAAAAGACAGATGGGAAGACTCAGCAAAGTCAAATTACATTATGGGTTGGAAGAGAATGAAAAAAAATTTCAGGACATTAGGCATGGGCACAAAAAAGAACAGGGCACTGATGGCGTTATTAGGCTTGGGTAAGACACCGATGGGAGTTGTTTTCTCCTCAAAGCATCTCTGTCTTCTCTAGACAGGCCAAGATCTTACTGATATGGTACAGGAGAATATGTAATACTTACAAAGTCAAACCAAAGCAATGGCCTTTGACTTCTCATTTAGCTCCCCAGTGGAGTGTAAATCTCGGTTATCCCACTGTTTGGGGGAGGGGATGGGAGAGGAAGAGGGAAGGACTGAGTCCAACGGATGAGCCGAAGTTGACCATTTCAGTCTGTAAGCTCAACGGTAGGGATGATCATTTTTGAGGTGCTAAGTAGCATTTATGGAAACTTAATACTTGAGGAAAATTGTTAACTCCAGTTGGTAGGTTGGACATGACACACAGAGATGGGAAAGATTATTGACTAATTTCCGTCTAAAATGATTAACTACACTGTAAGGTTCTCCTTCCTAAAAATTACATACACATTACGAGAGAACATTATTTATAGTAAGTAGTGGCTAACATACCACCCTAAAAAGCCTAGTTTGAGGACAAATGAACAATATATACTAAAGAGAAGGGGGCTTGTTTGGGGCACATATCTGCAGAAAAGATTTCATTATAAAGATTTAAAATACATATACTGAAAAAATACCTCTGAAGGAGAGAGAGCCATTTGTCCTTTTGTTCTGGAGAACTGTAATAAAAGACAATGAAAGAAATATTAAACCACATAAAAGACTTACACTAATATTTAAGATTGTCAGCCCAGCTGAAAATATCAATAACCTGTTGTCATTGCTAAGGCTGCACGTGTGAGCTGCAACCTCAGCAGAATTCCAGAGAACCTGTGGGGAAAATGCCCCTTGGAAACACTAAGTCCTCTTGGAAGGATCTGAGACAGACCCACGTTACTACTTTTCTGCCCTTGTACAAGTGGTATTACACCAGCAGGAGACAGCTCTTACAGTGTGAAAGAGGACTGGATTTGGAATCTAAATACTTGGCTTCAAAATTCTACACAGGCTAGATGAAGTGAGAAGCTGGGTTAATGACCTCACCCAGAGTGTTTCTGCAGCTTGCAGGGCCAGACCAATGGAACTATATGCTTAATATAAGGTTCAGTAGGAACTTGGCATATAGGTAAAAATACTTCTTTTTTAAAAGAGATTTTTGCTATAGGGTATGTGTGCTTGCTGGAGAGAGAGGGAGGGAGGGAGGGAGAGAGAGAGCAAGAATCACCCCCTGTGGGGATGGCCACGTTACAATCCTTTTTCTTCCATTCTCCTCTCAGGATTTTAGGCACACATGCCTGGCATGCGTTTTAAGACACAGCGTCCAGGACTTGTACCATAGTCAACTACGTGGGAGTTCAGTGAAGTAACCATTACGCCATCTGCTGGTCCCAGGGTAAAAATATCTTGACTCAGAAACCAGTTTGTTATCAGGAAAAGAAACTTAAAAAACAAAAACCAAAAAAGAACAAAAAAACAATACAAAAGGCAGAAATGTAATTTAGTTACTATAACTTGATGAAGTTACTATAAATTAATTAGTAGTGATTAGTAACTTTTCTGCTGATTTAATGTCACTGTTATATTTAATTCTTTTCTTTTTTAGAGCTAGGCCTTGCTAGCCTGCCCAGACTGGCCTCTAACTTGCAATCCTCCTTCCTCAGCCTCCTGAGTAGCTGGGATTACAGGTGGACACTGCTATACTTGGCTCTGCATTTACTTTTTCTTAGATAGATTTTTGATATAGGCCACGTGTACTCACCGGGGTGAGAGAGAGAGAGGGAGAGAGACAGACAGACAGAAAGTGAGAAATCAACCCCCCTCCCGGGCGGGGGCAAATAGGTCATGCCTCAGTCCCTTCTCTTTCATTCTCCTCTCAGGATTTTGGCCATGTACACACATGCATCCAGCATGAGTTTCAAGCCGCTGTGTCCAGGACTCGAACCATGGTTGGTCATGTGGGAGTCCAGCACCTTAACTGCTATGCCACCTGCTAGCCCCTTCATTTACTTTTCAAAGTTTATTCCTAGATGGTCTTGTCACTCACAAACTTTTAAAATCGTATTTCAAAAGTAATCTTATTGGAAATCCTAGTTATAGTCTTCTTTCAGAAAAATACACTTAATAAATATTTGTTTCTAACTTTGTTGCTTAGCAATTTTCTCTGTAAGCAATCTTTCAGAAATGGGCACCTGGAGTACATTACGTTTTTCTTTTTACATCTGACCATGTGACTTTTCCTCTTTCATATTTCCTTACTATCTTTTGATGTATTCTCTTTTCTAAAATTATTTTCTGGGTTAATTTAGGTCACATCTAAGATTTACTTAGCAAAAATATGTTACATAACAGGTGATCAATTTTCTTCGGATTTGTTTTTCTCATAACAGTTAAGAAAATTCCCCTTTAAGCCAATCAGTGTTTTAAAATGACATAAGATGTATAGAGAAAACCACACAGAACTTAGTAGAGCTTGAACATTTTTACACACTGAACACACCCATGGACCTAATACCCACATTATGAAACAGAGACTCACACTGAACAGTCCTATGCTCCCTTCTAGGCAGTTGTTCCCACCCTGCTAACTCCCAACAGAACACGATAGTTTTGCTTGTGTAGCACTTTTTGTAAATGTATGTAGTGTATATATACTAGTTTGTGTCTGGCTTCTTTCATATAACATGTTTGTGAGAGTTATCCAATGACTGCATGTAGTTTTAGATCGCTCCTTCTCATCATTGTGTATACATACAGTGTTCTGTCATTTGAATATACAGCAAATATTACTTTAAAAATAAATTATGAAGTTAGGTTAATTTATGGAGATCGATTTGTATAATCATCATTTATCTTCCCTGCTCTATAAAAGAATCCAGACTTCCTCTTTCCTTAGTAAGTCTTAATAGCAGGCATTTTTAGAGAACTAAAGACAGAAGAACTCCAAAGTCAATAGCTGACTCACAGCTTCATAAATACCTAGGCCCATTAAAGATAGGAAGACTCAGGGGCCAGCAGGTGGCGTGGTGGTTAAGGCACTGGACTTCCCACATGGCCAACTATGGTTTGAGTCCCAGACCTGGCAGCTTGCTTTCTCACTTTCCCTTGCTCTTTCTCTCTGTCTCTCTCTGGTCAAATTAATGATGATGATGATGATTAAATAAAATTAAATAAATACTGAAAAAAAAGGATAGTAAGACTCAGGAGAGAAGAAAGCAGTGTACATTGGAGAAAGAAAAGGGGCAAAGGAAAATGGAAGATTATTTCAAGATATGAAAGTGATAGAGGTCATGTCGGTTAAAGTGCCCTAAGGAAACAAAACACTTGGAGGATGTAGGTTTAAAGAACAACTAGAGACACGCCATCTTAGGCACCAAAATTTCTACATTGGAAAGATAATCCACATGTGAAAAGGAATCAATGCATCTCTGAATGTATAGGGATGACTCCGAACATGTCCTGTGATGTCAGCAGGGTCCAAAATAGCCTGGGCTCAGGAGTCTTCCAGCTGTTTTGGAGGCATTATCAAAACCTGCTGTGTTCTGGTTCTACCTTCAGGAAATGGGAGTTCCAAGGAAGAACACTTGATTTCCATGGGACCAGCAGTTAGTGTAATGGCTATGTCACTGGACTCCTACGTAGTCAACCGTGGTTCGTGTCCCGAATCTGATGGTTTAAACTCATGCCGGGCACATGTGTGCCCAAGATCCTGAGAGGAGAATGGAGGAGAAGGGATTGCAGTGTGGCCATCCCCCCTGGGGAGGTGGTTCCTTGCTTTCTGTCTGTCTGTCTGGCGAGTGTACGTGCCCGATAGCAAAAACCTCTCAAAAAAAAAAAAAAAAAAAAAAAAAAAAGAACACTTAATTTCCTACTAGCCTGGCAAAATAGTGGCTTGAGGAACATTTTGATTGGATCTATACATAAACAGGTATACCTGAATCTGTAGTGTTAAGTCCACACTAGGTACTTAACTGTCGGCTAATCCCTCTCATGGATGGATCATGGTCTGAATAAGTGCTTTCTGTGTCTTCTGAACAATACTTCCATTATTTTGTATGGCTCTTTGTAAAATCATGATGTTCCTCCTGTTTTGCTGGTAGGTATGGATGCTAGGTTTATGAATGAGAGTGCGTTTTGTGATCAAGGTATGAAATTCCCCTGGACCTTCGAGATGTGATATTTTCGTGTACCCTGTTTCCTAAAATAAAACATGGGAAGTTCACATTATTTACTTTTTTCCCCAATTTGACTCAATTGAGAATTCCTCATGAATGGATAGTTGTTTGACTTAGATTTCAAAGCTATTAGTTGTTGCTTTTTTGTTTCTTTATAGATATGACAATAACTGGGTAGGAGGTACTGCTTCTTTTTTTTTTTTTTTTTTTGAGAGATTTTTGCTATAGGGCGCGTGCGCTCGCCAGACAGACAGAGAGAGACAGAGAGACAGAAAGTGAGAAATCACCCCCCAGGGGGGATGGTCATGCCGCAATCCCTTCTTCTCCATTCTCCTCTCGGGATCTTGGGCACGCACGCACACATGCCCGGCGTGAGGAGGTACTGCTTCCTGAGCTGATAACAAGATGACATTTTAAGCTGATTGTGATGTTGGTTGCTTTCTTTAATGTACTGAGATAAGCGCAGCATTTCCAATGATCTTCATTCCTTCCTAAAGATCCAAGCTTCCCTCTGATATTTCACTTCATCCTGAAACTATTCTGTTAACACTTTTTTTTCTTTTTGTACGCCAGTTTTATGGTAACAAATTCTCCTAGCTCGAAAAAAAAGTAATCTATTTTATCTTCATTTTCTTTTTCTTTTTTTTTGGAGAGGTTTTTGCTATAGGGCACGTGTGCTTGCCAGAAAGACAGAGAGAGACAGAGAGACAGAAAGTGAGAAATCACCCCAAGGGGATGGCCACTCCTCAATCCCTTCCCCTCCATTCTCTTCTCATGGTGTGACTTTAAGCCTGGGAGGTGAGTCGTGGTCAGGCAAACCACGGTCAACTACATGGGAGTCCAGCGACATAGCCATTACACCAACTGCTGGTCCCTTTATCTTCATTTTCAAAGGCTATTTTTGGTAAGACTATTTTACGTTGAAAGTTTTTTCTCTAAATACTTTGAAGATGTTCCATTGTCATCTGACCTCCATATTTTCTAATGAAAAGTCTACTAAACTTTAAATTGCAGTTCTCCTATATATAATGCATTGTTTCTCTGGCTGCTTTCAATATTTTCTCTTACCTTGATTGACAGCCTTTGGCTATAACATGATCTGGTGTTATTTTTTGCATATTCATCCTGTTTAAGGTTTACGGAGCTAACGGAATATTTATACTTATGTTGTTCACCATATGTGGGGGGTTTTTACCATAATTTCTTCAAATATTTCTTTTTTCCCATTCTCTGTCTCCTTTCTGGAATTCCAATGACATGTATTTTACCTTTCTACATTTCCCACAAGTCCTTTATATATTTTTCATTAAGAAAAGTCTTTATTTTCTCTCTTCTTCAGATTGGTCAGTGATGTATTCTCAAATTCACACATTTCTATTCTGCAATTAAGGTTATACTGGAGATATTTAAACTATTATAGTTTTTACTTCTCTAATTTTCATTTGGCCCTTTTGAATATTTCCCATTTCTCTGGTGAATGTCCTATCTTTTCATTCATTTCAAATGGATTTTCCTTTCACCTACTATGTATACTCATAAAAGTTGCTTTAAAGTTATTTTCCGGTAATTTAACATATGGGTCATCACAGGTTTGACCTCTTGATTATCTTTCACATGTCAAGAAATTTATATTCTATGGGAACCAGCAGTTAGTGTAATGGCTATGTCGCTGGACTCTCACATAGTCGACCGCGGTTCGCATCCCGGACCCGGTGGCTTAAAACTCACACTGGGCGTGTGTGTGTGCGTGCCCAAGATCCCGAGAGGAGAAGGGATTGTGGCATGACCATCCCCCCTGGGGAGTGATTTCTCGCTTTCTGTCTCTGTCTGTCTGGCGAGCACACGTGTCCTATAGAGAAAAACCTCTCCAAAAAAAAAAGAAAGAAATTTATATTCTAGACATTATGAATATTTTCTTTTGGAGACTCTGCATTCTGTTATATTTGTAAAGCTGTTTTGTATTTGTTTTAGCAAATATCTAACTTGATTAGAGCAAATTCTATCTCATCTGTACTATGCAGCAGGTAAATTTAATTATCTTAGTCTTAGTCTCAAGATGCTTTTAGGGACCAGCAGACAGCATAATGGTTAGGTTGCTGGACTTGACCATGGTACAAATCCTAGACCTGGAGGCTAGAAACTCATGTTTGGGCATGTGTGCATGCCCAAAATCCCAAGAAGAGACTAGAGGAGAAGGGACTGAGGTATGGCCATCTCCCCTGGAGGGTGATTTATTGCTTTCTGTTTCTCTGTCTATAGCGCACATGCCCTATAGCAAAAATCTCTATTAAAAAAAGAAAAAAAACATGCTTCTAGTAGGTCCCATTCATGTGTGGTTCAAGAATCAGTCGGAGACTTGGACAGTATCTATACACAAAGTTTGGAGCTTCTTTTGTGGACATACTCCTTTCTGAGATTTTTTTTTTCCCTTTGCTTTCCAAACGTTATGGTTGACTTGGATTCTGTGTTCTGGTTCTTTAACCCAGAAAGATTGTGGGTTTTCATCAGAAATAGTTTCTTTGCACCATGATATGCCTGTCACCTGTCCTCAGGCTAGAGCCTAAAAACGGGAAAATTCACCTAGTGCTGGTGCCTTCTTCCTAGTTTGAATTCCTCTCCAAAGTCTGCCAACTTTTGTTCACACTTCTGAAACTTTCAGGTAGCAGTTTGTATTTTGTTCGGATTTACAGTTGTTATCTGTAGAGTAGTTTCTCTTTTAAGATGTCATTCTGCCAAATATATATATATATAAAATATCTTGAAGTTAAAATTATCGAGAGAGTCCCAGAATACTTCTCATCCAGTTTATTTCCTCTAATGGTCGCTTCTTATATTATCATGACCCATTTATCAAAATGAGGAAACTATTATTGGTACATTACTACTAATCACACCCTTGACTTTATTCAGACTTTACTAGTTTGTCTGTTAGAGTCCTATGAGCCAATCTAGGACACCACATTATATTTCCTTATCATATCTCCTTAATGATAGGTATAATACAATTTCTGTCTTTCCTGTTTTTTTTTTTGTTGTTGTTGTTGTTGTTTGTTTGTTTCTTTGTTTGCTATATTTTGACATTGATAGTTTTGATACTGGTCAGGTATCCTAAAGAATGCTCCTCTATCTGTGTTTGTCAGATGTTTTTCCCATGATTAGCTTGGTGTTACGGATTTTGAGGAGGCATGCAAAGATGAGATGCTTTTCTTACCACATTATATCAAGCAGCACTTGATACCCACATGACTGGTGATGCTAACCTAGATCACTTAGTTAAAGGACCACGGTTTGAGCAATACAATATATATGACTTGTTTCCAGATGTTCTCTTCTTAAAAAGATGTTCCATGGAAATGGACTAAGTGTCATGTGGTCATACTCCTCATTAGAAATTGCTTCCTTTTACCTGTAACTCCAAGGAGATTGAGCAATAGGAAATGATAGTATCTATATAAATCTGTCATGAAAAAGGAGATATGCAGAGAAAGATAAAAACATATTTCTTGGGGCCAACAGGTGGCATAGTCCAGGCACTGTCCTCCCACATGGCTGACTGTGGTTCAAATCCTAGACCTAGCGGCTTAAAACTTATGCTGGGTATTGTCTGTGTGCATGTCCCAAATCCCAAGAGTAGAATGGAGGAGAATGGATTACAGTGTGGCCAGCCTCCCTGGGGGGCGGGGGAGGAGGTGATATTTCAGTTTCTCTTTGTCTGTCTCTCTGGTGAGTGCGCATGCCCTATAGCAAAAATCTCTCTCTAAAACAAACAAAACTCCACATATTTCTTCTAAATAAGTACTTAAAATCTTGTGGTAGGGCTAGTAGTGTAAAACAGAATTTAATGGCTTGGGAATTTTTAGTTATATCTGACTTTAGGATGATGTTTGAGGAGCTTGGTGGTGCGAGGAGAATAGAAAGCATCCTGTGCATGTGGTGAACACGAATTCTTTACATATGAAACTATATACTATAGTTAGGGCACAGTAGTTGAGAATCACAGGTATGGGCTTTTTAGTATGCTCACAATGAACTGAAAAGTGCCAATACGCATGTTCAGGGAGCCAGACAGTGGAACAGTGGTAAAACGTGATGCTCTGTGAGGCTGACTCACGGGGGAAGGTTCTGGGTTCACACTAGAGCCCTCCCAGAGTACACTGGGCACCCGTGCGCCCATAGTCTGGGCTGGCTGAGGCTAGGGATGGATCACGTCAAAACCCTGTTGGGAATGTTGTGTCATTGTATATCTCTTGCTCATGGAAAAAATAGTAACTTTTTTTTTAAAAAAAAAAGCATTTTCAGGGACCAGCAGTTAGCATAATGGCTATGTTGCTGGACTCCCACGTAGTTGACTGCAGTTCGAGTCCCAGACCCAGTGGCTTAGAACTCACGTCGGGTGCGTGTGCGTGTGTGCCCAAGATCCCGAGAGGAGAATGGAGGAGAAGGGATTGTGGCGTGGCCATCCCCCCTGGGGGTGATTTCTCGCTTTCTGTCTCTTTGTCTCTCTCTGTCTGTCTGGGGAGCGCACGCGAAGCGTCCTTAAAGAAAAAACCTCCCAAAAAAAAAATTTTTTTTTTTTTTTTTTTTTTTCAGAATAAGGGGACAAATGCTCTGTATTCATACATTCTCTAATCCCATCCAAGACTAGAAGTAAGTCTAGGAAAACCTTCACTCCGTAGAAATCATAATTTGCTTTTTGAAAAATTCACAGGAGAGGGAAAGACAGGGGAGGAGGGGGGAGGGGGAGAGAGAATAAGAGATAGATAGAGAAAGGGAGAGAGAGGGAGAGAGAGAGAGAGAGAGAGAGAGAGAATACACCTCTACATACACCCCAGGATGGTCATATTGCAAATACCCTCTCCGTTTTTCCTTTTGTGATTTTGGGCATGTCTTGCATATTTTTTCAGGCTGCCGGGTCTGGGGACTCACACACAGCTGGCTATGCATCTAGGACCCAGCTGCTTTAAACACCGTATCACTGGCTAGCCTCACAAATTGCCTTTTTATTTTCACGTATCCATGGATCCAAAATCAAAACCTGATACACAATTTAGGCAACCAAGTATTTCATGACATCCCTTTCATTTGTATAATGAAAAACTACTTTAGAAAATTTGGGAGTGGGACCAGCAGTTAACGTAATGACTATGTCGCTGGACTCCCACGTAGTCAACCGCAGTTTGCATCTTGGACCTGGTGGCTTAAAACTCACGCCGGGCGTGTGTGCGTGCGTGCCCAAGATCCTGAGAGGAGAATGGAGGAGAAGGGATTGCGGCATGGCCATCCCTCCTGGGGGGTAATTTCTCGCTTTCTGTCTCTCTGTCTCTCTCTGTCTGGTGAGCGTATGCGCCCTATAGCAAAAAAAACCTCCCCCCCCCAAAAAAAAAAAAAACGAAAGAAAGAAAATTTGGAAGGAGTGTAAGTCAATTTAAACTTAATTGGACTGTTTTATAAAATTTGCTTCAATGAAGATCTAGTTCAGTGGTTTGAAAAGACTGATAGGACTTAAAACATGTAAAACAAGTACCTAGACACTAAGGAAGTGGGAGGATGCTGGAGAGGGGATCCTAGAGCTCTGACCTTCATCACCTTTCTCTATCACTCTCTCACCTTTATCTGAAGTTCCTTTTCCCCCTAGTCGTTTCAGTACAGCCCCTTTAAAGATCTTTAGTCAAACCAAGGTACATGACTCTAAGAGCTCCAAATATATACCATTAATTTTCACATATTTTAAAATTTTTTCTCTCTATCCTAGAAATGATCACAGAAGCTAACCAAGGTAAATAGAAGACAGACAAACTGGTTTTTACCTGAAAGTGGCTACAAAGTTCACTGTGGGCCAGCCCAAGACGAAGGATTTCATAGCGTTGGTGTTGCCTTCTCCCACTTCATCCACACAGCTTGCTGTCCACATATCAGTTAATTTAATTTTATTTTTTATTTTAAAGTTATTGTTATATCTGGAAAGACAAAAACCAAATAGGACCTTTTGTTACTGTTTATTACATTTTACTGGAACTTCTTTTTTTTTTTTTTTTTTTTTTTGGAGAGGTTTTTGCTATAGGGCACGTGCGTTCGCCAGACAGACAGAGAGAGAGACACAGAGACAGAAAGCAAGAAATCAACCCCCAGGGGGGATGGTCACGCCGCAATCCCTTCTCCTCCATTCTCTTGGGCTCTTGGGCACGCACGCACATGCGCCTGGCGTGAGTTTTAAGCCACCGGGTCTGGGACGCAAACCGCGGTTGACTACGTGGGAGTCCAGTGACATAGCCATTACGCTAACTGCTGGTTTCCTTTCCTGGAACTTCTGTATTTGTGATAAGTGGATAGTTGTCACTCATCATAGGCAAAGAGCATCTTATTCATTGTTTTTTAACTTCAGTACCTGCCAACTGTAACAGAGTTAGCTACCTTGGCCCAAGATGTCTTTGAAACATTTGATGAAACAGTTTTCATGCATGCATTTCTGGCAGCAAATAGCCATAGGCAGGCTACTTTATATTTCTGTATGTTAAATATTGCATTTAGATCAAAAACCCAATTTTAAATTTATTCCTGTTACAAAATAATAATTATTATTTATAATTTACTTACATCTAAAGAGATTTGAGTGGCTGAACAAAAAAATCCATATGATTAAAATATTTGTAAAATCTCATCTTAAGAGAGATGTACTAAAAAACCCCTGGAATTAATTAGAAGAATTTATAATACATTTTTCAACTGAGTGGTTACAAGATTTTTCTATCCTTTAGAAGAATAGATTATTTTGGGAACCAACAGTTGGTGTAATGGCTATATCGCTGGACTCCCATGTAGTCGACTGTGGTTCGTGTCCCAGACCTGG